CCCTCCTTCCCTCGCCCCTTTTCCCTTTCTCTGCCCTCCTCCCTGCCCTCGCAAGTTTCGGCCTGTATGTTTTTCCCTCCCCTTCCCTCTCTTCCTCTCACTCCCTCGCCTTCATCCTCGCGTCCTGGCACTGGCCCCTGCAGGGCGGCAAATACGACCTCGCACAGGACTTGTGTCAAAAGTGTCTCAAGTACAACAAGAGCTGCGCCAAGGCCTGGGAGATTATGGGGCAGATCATGGAGAAAGAGCAGGTGCGGGGCCGGAAGGGGGATTCCGGCGACACGGGAGGGGGCGTTATGCCGAACACATGGATTCCACCGCATGGGTCGGGGCAGGAGGGCTGATTGGAGGGTTGGAGGGGACTTAGGGTGGAGTTGGTGGGGTAGAGAGGTGTAAGGGGCGGTTGTGGGACTCTGAAGCCTCTCCGCCTCCCCGTCCCGAATCGCAAATGGAGCTCCCTGTTTGGTGTGAGAGCAGGCGGGGGGGTTTAGGGTGGTGGATGGAGGTGGGGAACCGGGGCTCTACCCGGGCCGCGCTTCTTCTCTCCTCAGAGGAAGAAGAACTCCATTCGCCTTCCCACACTTTTCCGCCGTGCCTTGGCCCACTCGGCGTTTTTGCGTACAACGCAAATTGGCCGGAGTTGGCGGGTCTTCCTTCTCCTCTTTATACGGCTCCCTGCTCTCCCCTCCGTCTCCGCTCCGTCCTCCGGCCCCCACCCCCGCAGGCGTACAAAGACGCCGCGGACCACTACGAGAACGCTTGGAAGCACGAGAACCAGGCCTCCGCGCAGGTGGGCTACAAGCTGGCGTTCAACTACCTGAAGGCGAAGCGTTTCGTGGAGGCGGTGGACGTGTGTCACAAGGTCATCAAGACCTTCCCGGACTATCCAAAGATACGGAAGGATATTCTGGAGAAGGCGCGCATGGGCCTCAAACCCTAGTGTGGCGAGAGGGTGTGTGTGTGTGTGTGTGGCGGCGTAAGAGGTCCGGCGGCGTGGGGAGCGGGAAGCAGTGGAGGCGATGGAAGGAATAAGCGAGGAGGCTGCTGTCAAGCCGGGTGGTCCGTCACTATACAGCTGCCCCCTGCTGCCTACCCTTATCGTATATGGGTGGGAAGGTAGTAAGGCCCTTAAGGGAAAGCCGGATCCGTGTCTGACGGCTGGAGCGGGTCCGGTAGGTGGGGTGGGGAAGCAGGGGGGAGGGGAAGGGACATGGAGTGAGGTGCATGCGAGGAGGTGCAGTTGCAGGGGTGCTTGTGCAAGGGGAGGAAGGGAAGGGAGTTCAGGAAATGGACCCAATGGGCTGCTGATGCTGCTGATGGTGATGGTGATGGTGATGGTGATGGCGATGATGATGGTGATGATGGTGATGATTTGGGCTGACGGCGACGACTGGTCTATGGCGGAAAGGGAGGGCCGGTCTTTGGGTCATGCGGTGTACCTTTTATCTTCTCTACGTGCCGCCACCTTGAAGTGAACACGGATTGTTCGAGAGCTTGTGCGAATTAGGCCCCAACTGAAATGACGTGGAGGCCAGGGGGAGCAGCAGCTGGTAGTGGTGACGGTGGTGGCGCCAGCAGGTGGTGGAGCTAGGAAGGGACTCCGCCTTCGTGTCCGGGAATCGTACAGTCCCGATGTGGCGGCGTGCACGGGCCCGGGCTGGGAGAGCGGTAGCGCGGCTGGCTGGCTGGCTGGGCGGGGTGAGCTCTGCTCAAGGGAACGGCATTACCATGACGATGGCGATAGAACGACAACGTGCAGCCATGTGGATGGTGAATGTGCACTACATGGCAGGAAGCTGGAGCTCTTTCTCAGCGGCGTAACTCTCGTGCATGTAAGACTTATGTACGGGGCGGGGACGGGAGGACGGCCTGGCACTGCTGCTCCTGATGTTCCGATCGCTGCTTGCCGTTGGGGCCTTGCAATCGCTCCTCTCCCTCATCCCGCTCGGCAGCCGGTGCAGCAGAAAGGGCGTTTTTGGAGGACGTGGACACCCCCCCAAAGCCCTCTTCTCCATGCCCTAGGGGAGGATCGCGGGTTTGGCTACTCCTATACTGATTACCATTCCGGAAACAGGGGCCCGTTTTCCCTCTCCTTGACATGCCCCCGCTTTGTGCGGCTGCGCGCATGCATATGCCTAATGTGCAAGATACAGTTTGTTTCTGTGTGTGATGTGTGTGTTCGTGAGTGCACGTCTGTTGTGCAAGCGGTTCAACGACGCCAGACCGGAGCCGCGCATTACATGTCTACATGTACATATATGTGTGCGTACATATCCCGACGTGTACTAACATACGCAGGGGCACGATGGACCGAAGAAATGGTTGTTCCCCATCCCCTTTGTTCCCCTACGGAATGCGCCCCCCTGGGGTTGCGGCCGTCAGTAGACTGCCTGGGGGCATTATTGCACACAGCAAAAAGAGAGCAAAAACACAAAAGGACCGGCCCGACACGGGGCCTTGGATCTGCAACAAACCCCACACCTGCATGCCTGAAACTGTCCGCGCCCCGCACAACACAGCGCGATACGAGGACAATTAAAAGCAAAGTCCCGTCGCAGTTTTCTGCTCTTTCCCCCTCTCTAACGTCGCCGCCGGCGCACACGGCACGACACTTCACCGTTCTCAGCTGAGAAGTGAGGCCCATTAGGTTTGGGGTCCGCAAACACCACCACATAACCACATAGCTTCACACCTGCGTGACCTGACGAAAAGCTTCCCCATGCAACCTTTCAAAAACCAGATAACCTACAGACAAGTCGTGCACAGGGAAAAGCACGATGCGCACATGCGAAATCAAAACGTGTCGATCCAACACAGCGCCCAACAACGTCTCAGTGCTGCGCTGCTAAATCCAGATTGGACCATGACGCTAGCGCCGACGCGTGCAAAAAAATATACGTCCGAGCATTGCACACATAACGAGCAACAATCACACAGCAGGTCTCTTGAGACATACGAGGCGAAAAGTATTGTGGCGGGAAGGGAATCACAGTGTCAACGGCAGCAGGCAGCTCTCGCAAACCAATTTAACAACGCAAATTTAAATTGCTTTAGGAAGCCAAACTCATGCGAAGCTTTAACGCCAGGTCGCCGTACCAAACCCTTTATCATCCCGCTATACGTTAGTGCTGTAGCCTTCTCAAAACAGGAGCAACCAACCTCAACCATGTCCGCTCGCCCAGTCCACTATTCCATTGACCTTCTATCCTCGTCTAGGAGGGGCCTGATGCTCCAAATTGAAGCTATTTGGACCGACCTAAAACCCTGTGGATCCTCCCATAAAGTCACTATTCATGATAAGCCAATGTCATGGGAAGCATATTTATGGGAAGCATATTTTATGGAATATAGGAAACGGTTTAAGTCCAACATGCAAGCAGTCTCAGGGAGACTGAAAACGCCGACATCCCCGGGGAGAGTCTTGCTATCGTAGTTTGGTACTAGAGTACAAAGCGCTGCCTACGGTTGGGCGAGCAGAGCCAAGCGTGTGGCCAACTCCCCTCCTACGTAAGCAAATCATGTAAAATTGCAAGAGATTGCAAGACGCATGTGTTCCAGCATCTGTGCATCTCTGTGCGCTTAAATGAAGCTGCATATAGAGGCAATAGTGAATACAGGGGCATAAGGAATAGCAATACGTCAAAGCTGGGCCGAACCAACGCAGCCAAGTCGCCCGGCAGTCAGTTCACCAGCTCAGCCTCGTAGCAGCACGAATCCATGAGCTGCACGTAAGCTTCGCTCACGCCCTCACGCACTTACTTTTCATTTGGAATTTTCGCTCATTCACTCATTCACTCGCGCACTCACTCACCCTTGGAAACAATCCAAGTCTAGGATAACGTGCCCAGCAAGCCCTGCCAACATGCACGACTCAAAGCCATGGCCGCCCAGAGAAGCTTCCCGAACAGCGGAGAAGCGCGACTGGCTGTCGTATCCGAACTCGTACCTTGGTCCCTGTCCGTACAGCAGCCCCGGCAGCAGGTCCGCAGAGTCCGGCTGCAGCCGCAGGCTGTACGGCAGCGGCGGCTCCGCAGTTACCGTAGTCGTTGTTTCCATGCCGCCGACTATAAGGTGGCCAATGCCGGCGCAGTCACCACCGCCAATATCGCCGCAGCATCGCTCCTTATTCCGCCGCTCCCAATCGCATCCGCCGCCGTCGTCGCCGCCCTGACACCTGACCTGGGGATTGACTGGCCGGAAACGTCCGGCCGCAATGTACGGCTCTGACGATCCCATGGCGCAGCCCGGCTCATTAGCCGGCGTCGGCGGCGACTCCATCTGTGGCTGATCGCGCTCTGTTTGATAGATATAGATGCTGGCAGGGCTGCGAGCAGGCTGATAAAGTCGGCCCGCTTCATTGTACGCCGCTGCATCGGAGCTCGGGAAGAGCAGCCGCCTGGCGGTGCCGCCGCCACCGCCGCCGCGGGCGGCTTTAGCGACATTCCGCACCCGTGCTTCAATGGCGTTAAGCTCCGACAGTACAGTTTGAATCCCAGGACGGTCCCGTGGGTCTGTGCTGAGGCAGCGACAGCACAGTTGACGCAGACACGGATTGCAGCTCGCTGGCCAGGCCAGCGCCTGACAGCTCCGATACAGATCGCCGTAATGCCGTACACCCGTCGCCCCGCACTTCGCCCACTCTTCTCCCCATTTCCCTGCGGCCGCACCCTGCTCGGCAGGCGGGCTCAGCTGCAGGCTTAGGTGCGGGGCTAGAGGCCGCTGCGGAGAGGGCGGCGTCCCCGTGAGCATCTCGTAAAGCACACAGCCGAAGGAGTAGACTGCAATCGTCAACGGAGAAGCGAATGTGCGTGAGTAGGGCGACAGGGGAAGTGAGATAAGAAGTAAGCCTTTTTAAACTACTTAATCAAGTTGGTAGTAGCTATTTGCATCTGTAAATCCTGCGGAGTTAGCAGCTGTGGGCGACGCATATTGCCTATGACCGCCTTGGTGTCACACGCACGGGTTCCACCTTAACCTGCAGTTCTCACCGTCTGCGATCTGCAGCTCTGAAATGGATAGAGGCCGGCTACTGCCGCCGGCGCCGTAGCCGCATCTGGCCATGAGCACCTCGGGAGCAGTGTAGAAGGCTAGCAGTGACTGAGTCGAAGCCGCTGTTGCTACATCGCTACCTTTATCGTCGGAAGCTCTGCAGCCGGCTGGGCTCTGAGGATCTGTCTGTGCCTGGCACCCCATGTAACGGAACCCGAGTCCCGCGTCGGCAATCTGCGTGACCGCAGTCAGCAAACGGTTCTCTGTGAATTCGCATTAAGAATAGTATTATATCATCACATGTATGTCAATACAGGGCTCCCGAGCCGTTAAGCCAGTACTGGAAACATGCGGAAGAAAACCTCGTTGACCGCTTTTGCAAAAAAAACATTATCGCTTATCAGAATATCCTACAATCCATAAAAAGCTTGAACAGAAAGGGCTGCTCTGGAGGGCTGAAAGTCATGTATGAATGTTGCGCCATTGACCCTTGCTAACACGAGCCATAACAACACCAGACTTGGGAAGGACACATTTACGAACCTTGGCGATGAAGCCACGGCGGTCTGAATGGGACTCGACCAGCAGAACTTGGGACGGTCGAAAGTTGCCATGGGCGGCTCCAAGCAGATGCAAGTGCATCAGCCCCAGTGCGACCTCTCTTGCTGTGCATAATGCCGCACGAATTCCGGTCAGCAGAGACCATTTCGTGGAAACTTGAAAACATCGCTCTGATATAGCTCGGCTTACGTCGCCCTAAGGACGGGATGAGTTCGATTTTAAATATGTGCGCATACCATTTGCAAGGTTTTGAAAAATTGTAGGCGGAGCTTACCAGCAGACAGACCTCAGTTACGAGCGCGATAATATAATCACCAACTTTCGGCTGGAGCGATGCAAGAACCGTCTCCATCGTTTCCGTTCGACACATTATCATGTCGTGCTCCTTTTCAATATCATCAAGAGAAATGGAGCCAAGTATGCTCTCGATGCCAGCGCTTTCAGAGCATGGGATATCGATACTGCTGGCCAACCGTGCAGGACCATCAACTGCTCGCCAGCGCGAATCCGGGGTGACGCGGACAGCGCGCGCAAGGTAGTATTGGAGGATAAATGGATGTGACTGAGAAATGAGGAGGTCAATTCCTGCCAGCAGTTCGGCAGTCAGCCATCTTGCCCGCAGGAACTTCACGGCGCACCTCGCTCCATGCCACATACCTAACCATGAGTGCACAATTTCGTTCATGTCTGATAATTATCTGACAGAACGAAACGGAATGTGGGAGTTTTGATGCAGCTAGCAAAGAAGACTCACCAATGAACTGCATGCTGTCTTGTCCAGTGCTGATTGGTTTTTGTTCCAGACATATTCCAGAAATCAGCTCTTGAAAGGTGGACACGAGTTTCAGATGATGACATTTGACCGGAACCGGAGGTTGATTCGACTGCGAGCTCCATGATCCGCAGGTCGTCGGGCCATCCATACAGGTCTCATGCGCTGTTGCGCTGGATGCATCATTGAACTCCGCGGCACAGCCTGACGGTCGGCCCAACGGATAAATTGGCGCCGACGTTGGCGCTGCTGCATGGCAGTCCTGACCTTTCCTAGCACCGTAGAAGCAAGAAGATAAAAGCCTGCTGAAAATGGGCATGTGTCGAACAAGCTGCTGCTAGATATGGCGTTGAGAGGTACATGCAAGCTACTCTATTAGGTCGCCCTCGCAGGGACTGCGGGTAATTGTTTATTTATTGATAATATATTCGTGCATTTACACATCAACGCAATAAGGCCTTACAAAATATGCATGATGTAGCATTCCACGGCCAATTACCAACCAACCCAGCTGTAAAAGTGCCAACCACGTGGGACCCCCAAACAGCACATGAAATCCAATTGGTGGCCTAGAAACGTAACCAGCTAGCTGTTATCTTTACAGTGGGTCGCAAGTCCGGGTGTATAATCCGGGTACATCAGCGTTCGTTGACTTTGTCACAGGCTCGCAGGAGCTTTACAAACAGCTCGAGGCGGAGCTTTACAGAAAAGGAGCGTTAAACCAATTTTTTTCAACCAGACTATCACTCTCTTGAGAATCCGCGATTGCCAACGGGATAAAGAAAAACTTCCCAATTCTGGGCTTCTGCTCGGCGGCACAGCAGCAGGGTAGGTCGTCGGCCCAACTGAAGACCCAAAATGAGGTCAGAAGGTCTAAATGCAGATGCCATAAGCCTAACCTTCCAAAGCATACCGTATTCTACCTGGGTAACCTACGGTTACACACCGCTCTGTACACCTCTGCCGGTTTCACAACGAAAACCGCTCGGCTTGTCACCTAAATCGTATCATCGCTGTAACTGACGTCCCGGTCCGAGAATATACTTTCTCCCGAAGTAAATTCCGTCCGTCAAAACTTAGTTGCTTTTGATTGCAGTGATGCTGCGTAACAAACGCAGCAGCAGGCGTATGTTCCTTGACGGTCTTTTAACGCGCTGCTGCGTGTCATCCAACGATGATGCGGGATGCCTTATTGCTGTGTGTCATCGCGATTAAAGAGTTGATTTGTTGGCGCTACTGCCCTAGCCCAGGGCGTTGATGAAAAGTGATGACGGCAGGCGATCACAATTCAGCAGCGTTGCCTGTTGCTGCCTGCTCACCATAGGCATTCATAGGCACTACATCCGACGCACTCATAAAAATGAGTTCACGTGCTCACACGCACGTCGACGCACTCATCGCCCTCCTTCGCGTCCCTCTTTGGACAAGCCCGCCTCGCACGGGAACACAGAGGCTTGCCAATCCGTACTAGAAGAGTGACACACTAGGACTTTTAGAAATATTTTCCAAGTGAACCTGAACGATTTGCCATCTGTCAAGTTTTCAATTCGAAATGGCCCTCGTCGTGGTCAAGTCCTGTAGTCGTCAGGGATCCCCCCCCCCGACGCGCTTCGGGACTGAACTTGTCGCTTCCAGTGCTATCTGCTCTGCTGTCAAAGAAATCGTCTGCAGCTTCCTGCTTGAATGACTTCACTAGCAGTTTTTTTTGTTTGTGGTGCACGGAAGCAAATTTGCAAGAACCCCCGCATGTGCGTTAGCGTCGGATTTTTTTAGTCGAGTTGACGCCATTATGCTCGTATACTACGGAGATGTGAACACGCCTAACACCAAAATATACAGCATTCAAAGGTCCCTCAAGTTGCGCGATTCGAGGGCGACTTCTTCTAGGTCGACTTCTGTTGACCCCTCATCATCCAATCCCCAAATGGCAGCGAAGAGGAAAACCCCGCGGGCCCGCCAGGAGGTCAAAATGGTCCTCAAGCCCATCGGCTCGCCTAAACTAAAGAAACCAAAAGACGTCAAAGGCAATCACTCGCCTGCGGTGTTGACAAATGGCAAGTAGGCTAGCCGGAGTTTGTCGTGAGAGGACACGCGCACGTTGGAGGCTTGTTGGCCAGACGCTAGAACCTGTCGAGGCCGATAACAGAAGGGGGAGGGGTTCGTCGACTTTTCAGCGGCAGTCACACCCACCGCTGCGTTCAGCGATGGAGGAAACCGCAGGACTTCCGGTAAAAGGGCGCTGAAGCCGTCCGCTTGCCTCGCTAACTACGGTCAGAAAATGGTTTCAGCAGGCTGCAGGGGTTCGCGGGGGCCGCGCGCCCGATGGGGACTTTGCAAGCTGCCCAACGCGCCCAACACATGAATATTGCAAAAATATTAAATTTTCCTTATCCTGAAAATGGTATGTTACTCTCCTCAAAACCTTTTTGTCCGCAAACCTTACGTCCTCGCCCCAACAATGCTGGCCTATTCGGGACGTCTTCAAGTTGCCTGTGAACCTGAGCCGCTCGAGCCGCTGTACGGTATGATCACATGTACGACGGCGTTACTCTGAAATGTGGACGACGGCGTTACTCTGATCTGGTATGCAGCCCTGGCGACCGCTTCTTCGGTTTCGTCTTCTTCCTGGAATCGCCCTACCGTGGTGGTGGTGTGGTGGTGAAGTGGTGGCGGTAGTGGGGTTTAGGGTTTGGGGCCGGTTTTCAAAGGGTCTTTTAATGGGGGCACCAATGCTCCCTTCCTCTCCTTCCGGAAGTTCGGGTCTGCTGCAATCGTGTGTGTCTGGAGATGTGAGAGGTGGGCGACATTCTTACAATACACACAACCACCCACTTGTGGTCAAGTTACCCATGGTGTTAAGATGGCAATTACGACATATATACAAACACACACAATGACCGGTATATACACAACGAAGAGCACCACCAGCAGCACCAGCATCAACACCAGCATCAACACCAGCATCAACACCAGCATCAACACCAGCAGTAGCAGCAGTAGTGCATGGTGAGCTCTTCGAGTTCTTACGGGTGCTACCTCCAGACTGCCAACTGGCAAACTGCGTTCCAGATCGGTGGGTAAATGCATACAGACACCCATACAGACGTACATCCATACAGACATATAGACCCTATCTAACAAGGAACCATCACCAAACAGCCGCAAAAACAATCCCTGCAGATCCGGCCAGCACCGCAGTTATTGCAGTACACCCGGTGCCGTACATCGTGGCCTTCTCAGCGCTACCGCCATTCGCTGCCGCCGGGGGTCGTGTTAATCAGCTAGGAAGCACGCGGTCGTCGCTGGCCCGCCATTTCCGTGCCGTCGTCCTCGTCGCGGATGGCGCCGCCTGCAATCTTCAGCTCCCTTCCTCCAGCTCCGTCACCGCCTCCGCTGCCGCTGCCGTACACCTCGCCTCCGCTGCCGCTGCCGTACACCTCGCCTCCGCTGCCGCAGCGGCTGCCAGCAAGGCCGCCGCCGCCTCCGTCATGGCTATTGCCGGGTGCAGCTGCGGGTGGGGCCATAGCGCCCAGGGGCCGTCAGCTGGTGGTGGCGGCGGCGGGGCCGCCGCCGCGCTATCACGGTGACACGCGCCGCCGCCATCACCACTGTCGTACAATCCGCCACGGCCGCCGTCGAGCTTCACCTCCGCCAGCACCCTGTAGTACTGTCCCGGCTCCCTGTCGCTCATGGTGCATAGCTGCACTCGGTCCACCACCACACAGCCTGAGGAGCAGTGAGAGCACATGTACGACCATGTACGACATGAGCATCAGCATGGATATATGGGACGAGCAGGTCCCCACAGCATGCGGAGAGGTTGGAGGAGGTGGAGGAAGAGATGGATCATGAGGAAGAGAAATCCTAACATGAAGGGAATTAGCCATCAACAGCAAAATTCGTTCGGCCGGGCCCACCGACATACATGACCCAAAACATGACAATCAAGAGAGCGGCGGCGGCGGAGGAGGAGGATGACGGGGAGCAGGGGGCGGGCGGGAGGCGGAAAAGGGAGGCGGCAAGACCCGCGATCACATATCAGCCGTTGGGTCGGACTCCCCCCTTGTTTGTGACTCAGGTGGGGTTGGCTTCCCCGGGGACCTGGGGCCCTAAAGCCGTGTCGAGGCGCCTGCGGAGCGAAGCTAGCCACAGCCCGCAGCCGAACTCCAAAATCATCCACCCACCCCACCAGCTGCTGCAGCACCAGCAACAACACCCCCCCAAACCGTTTTCTTTTAAAGGCCCCCACCACGCACTACCCTAACAGCACTAACGCCCACCGGCATCAATTTCCAGGAGGGCCTCATACGCCGCCCGGGGGATGCTACGAAGCGGCTTAGTATCGCCATGCCGCCGCTGCCGCTGCTCTTGTTGCTGTTGTTTTTGCTTTTGCTCTTGTTTTTGCTCTTGTTGTTGTTGTTGCTGCTGCTGCTGCTGCTGCTGCTGCTGCTGCAGCTGCTTTGTCAGATGGCAGGGCGGCATGGCCGGTGAAGGCGTCGGTACGTCAACCCGGAGATTTCCGTACTCGTCCGTTAGGGACGCCGCTCCGCCGCCGCCGCCGCCGCTGCTGCCACTGCCATTTTCGCCCCCACCGCCGGCGCGTCGCGCGTCGTCCTCACTCCCTTCGCAACGATGTGTGGTGCTGCCCCCTCCTCCTTGTCCGGCCCTCCTCCAACAGCCTGAGTCCTTGCCCTTGCCATGGGGCCCCCCTCCTCCTCCTCCTCCTCCTCCGGGCTTGTAGCCTACTTTGGCAACAGTCACGTGGGCCTCAAACGCGCGTTCCGGCTCGCTGTACCTGTAGACACACACGCGGCGGCGGGGCTGGTAAGGGAAAGGGGATACTAGTACTCGGGCGTTTGTTGCTATAAACAGAGGCCAAGGGAAGATAAGATGTGGTAAGATCGAGAAGTCTTCTGCCCCTACCCCTTGAGGGGGGAGGAGGAGGTCGCAGGCGTTGAAACGTCGCCAGGGTTTGCCGTACACAAAGCACTATCGTACAGAACAAGTGGATGAGGCGAGCTCCCCGGGTTTACTCCCCAACCCTAAATGGAATAAATTCATTTATACATAAACACAAATACAACCGAGCTGTGTGTCTGTATGTGCTCTGCACCGCCTTCTGGAGCTACCGCGTTACCACCTCCCTGGGTGGTGTATCCTGGGGGGTAACGCCAATAACAGACCCTGAGAGCCCTGAGTGGCCCGCAGGGCCAGCAGCCTAGGGCCGAAAAGCCTGTCCGAAATGGGAATTAAAATAAAGACGGGGGTTGGACAGCACCACCGGACTCACCGCACCACCCAACTTCGCGCAGAAACATTCCCAAGTGGGACACAACACGACGCCATTTTTATCATTGCATGCGTTACGTCATCATTCGTACACATGTATACGGCGCCGCGCCCCAGCGTACTTGAGTTCTTTGAAGTGCGCCTCTACAAATGCCTGCAGCTTCGACAGCCGCTGCCTCGCGCTCTCACGCTCCCTGGGACTGACGGCTCCGGAACCCGTTCCAGCACCGGCAGCAGCAGGAGCAATAGCACCTGCTGCTGCTACAGCTCCGGGCGCTTGCGCTGCGTCCTCCGCTGCACCCGCACCCGCACCGGGTCCCCTCCGCTCCCCCTGTCCCTCTCCCTGCCCGTTCTGCTCCCCCTTACCCCCCTCATCTCGCTCTCCCTCCCCCACCCGCTCCGCGGCCACTTCCAAAAACAGCACCTACGGTGGTGGTGGCAAGAGGGGGCTCGCGCAATGCCGGTGAGAGAAGTAGCGCACAATTAGGCCATCTCCTTCACATCCTTCAATTCTTAGCTTTACCCCACTTTTCCTCCTCAACCTGTCTGGTCTGGTGACACCACTACAATTAGCACATCAAGATCCCAGTAATCGGACAGCACTAATAGTTTTACAGATTGCTACTGCGTTGTGGAGATGAGGTCTATTTAATGGACAATTAAGTTTTACATGTTGGATTGGTGACGACTGCTGAACCCCCTGTCTCTACGGATGTTGGGTGACTGGATGAGGAGGAGGGATCCAGATGGCAGGATCCAAACCGCCGTCGGTTGTACGGCGGAATCACCATTCATTAGGTTTAGTCCATGGCTCCCCCCGGCCTTTGACGGACACCCCCCCACTCCTGCGCAGCTTGTAACTTGATTAAATCCTCCCCGTCACGCCTTCATCACCCCGCCTCCCCCCTCCCTTTCCCCTCGCACCCTGTTGCCGAAGGACCTCAGGCCCCGGAGGTTCAGGTGCAGGGCGCCGTCCAGGGAGGCGGCTCGGAGCGCCCCCGGGAGATCCACCAGCAGCTGCAAGCAACGAACCAGCCGCCAAGGTAAATCGACTGGGGGCGGCATTGGTGACACCTGCGACTGCGGCTCCTGCGGTGTCGACCAGGCATCGGCGGCGGCTGACGGCGCTGGGACAGCAATCGCCGAGACGCCTTCTCGCTCATGACCCTGCTTTTCCGCGCCTGAGTCCGATGTACGGAACCGCTTCGGCGGCATCTCTTCTGGCTCCGGAACCAGGGCCTCTGGGTCCGGCTGTACCGCCTCCGTCGCCGTCGTCGCCGCCGCCGCGGACATTGCTTGTACGGCAAGGTTTGGTATCCGTCCCTTGTCTAGCGCCATGACCATTAATGTGATGTGCGCCTTCGTGGGAGCCTACAGGAAGTCCT